TATTTAACTTATATGCAGAGTACCTCATGTGAAATGCCAAACAAGCTGGAGTCAAGACTGCTGGGAGAAATATCAATAACCTCAGATATGCAGATGACACCACCCTTATTGCAGAAAGCAAAGAGGAACTAAAGAGCCTCTTGATGAAAGTGAACAAGGAGAGTAAAGAAGTTGGCTTAAAACTCAACATTCAAATAACTAAGATCATGGCATCCGGTCCTATCACTTCATGGCCAATAGATAGGGAAACAATGGAAACAGGGACAGATTTTATTTTCTTGGGCTCCAAAATCACTGCAAATGGTGACTGCAGCCATGAAATTAAAAGACACTTGCTCCTTGGAAGAAAAGCTATGACAAATCTAGACATCATATTAAAAAACAGAGACATTACTTTGCCAACAAAGGTCTGTCAAAGCTATGGTTTTTCCCAGTAGTCATGTATGGATGTGAGAGCTGGACCATAAAGAAAGCTGAGCACCGAAGAACTGATGCTTTTGAACTGTGGTGTTGGAGAAGACTCTTGAGAGTCCCTTGGACTGCAAGGAGATCTAACCAGTCAATCCTAAAGGAAATCAGTCCTGAATATTCATTGGAAGGACTGAAGCTAAAGCTGAAGCTCTAATACTTTGGCCACCTGATTCGAAGAACTGACTCACTGGAAAGGACCATGATGCTGGGCAAGATTGAAGGTGGGAGGAGAAGGACAACAGGGGATGAGATGGCTGGATGTCATTACCGACTTGATGGATATGAGTTTGAGCAAGCTCCGGAGTTGGTGATGGACAGGGAGGCCTGGCGTACTGCAGTCCATAGGATCACAAAGAGTTAGACACAACAAGCGACTGAACTGAACTCATCATACAGGGTTCATAAAAACCTACAATAAAAAAGTTAAGTGGGGTAATTCCAACAATGCTTTAACAATGCAATTTGGACTCTGAAAGAGATTATGAGTTGCTTAACGAAAGACAGCTTGCTTTAGACACCTTTATTATGGCTCGGCCATGTGACAAGGCAGTAAACCTTGTACATACTGTTCAATCCATAAGTGTTCACTGAATAATTAGAAAGAAACGGAATCAGCAAATTTTTATATTCAGGACTCTTCCTTCTATGATCACTCACCTGCTCACTTCCCAACTCTTTCCCAGGAACTTTATTTCTGATTCACTGCCCGGTACTTCAACAAAAGCAATGTTGTTTTATGAATTCATACCTTTATTATTTCCCACCTTCTCCACTTAGCTAAGTCCTACTCATTCCTCACAATTTAGCTCAGCTATCATGTTCTTGAAGAAGTCTCACCTGACTCCATCATCTATCCCCAGACTAAGCAAAACAGTATAATTCAGGACTGCCATAGTACCCAATGGGCTTCCCTGGCGGCTCAGACAGTAGAGAATCCGCCTGCAGTGTGGGAGACCTGGACTCGATCCCTGGGCCAGAAAGATTGCCTGTTAGGAGGGCATGGCAACGCACTCCAGTATTCTTGCCTAGAGAATCCCCAGGCTACAGTCCATGGGGTTGCAAAGAGTCGGACATGACTGAGTGACTAAGCACAGCACTTAGTACCCAATATAAGTATCCAATAATGCAGTTGCCACAAAACATAGAAACTAACCACTTAAATATCTGTGCCCACTCATAGACTGTAAGCTCATTAAAACTTCTATCTTTATAGTCACAAATACTAGCACAGATTCAACAAATATTTATTGAATGAATGAAAGAATGAGCAAACTGATCTCATTCCCTTTTTTGCCTTAATTTTTCTCTCTTTAACTTACCTATGCTTGGTCAGCTGGTCACCCATAATTTTAACTATCTTAAAAAATGAACAAAATCCTCTTTGGCCAAACAGAAATCAAAAATTGAAATAACCCTGAGTTCTGCTTATTCATATAGCCAAAAAGTATTCCTTCTTAATATTTACAATTAATATTCAATAACTACTTAACGTCACCACCATTTTCTCCTAATGTCCTCTAAAGCAGAGTCACATTTTAATATTCACTCTTTCACAGTCACACATATTATTTATTTCTACTCTTCTTTCTCCTTGAAAATATATAAAGTAGAGCAACTCTTTCTCTACTGATGCCATCATGTCTGTCCCTTTCCATTTCTAGAGCCCCTGCCTTTAATCTCTTCCAGTTCAGTTTGCTCTAGTTGCATCAAAGGAATAATTTAGTATACTGAAACTACATATACGGAATGTCTGTTTCTTACCATACAATGTTCTAATTACATAGAATCCACAATTTTTAGCCTGTCTTTTAAAGATATGCACCACACCTTCATCTCTACCAGTATTCTTCTTGTTTCCTCTTAAAAAAATATGTATTTCCTTGTGCTTCCAGGTATGCATTTCCCATTGAAGCCAAGCAAATATTCTTGACGTTATATCATAGTAAATCTGCAAATTCCTGCATGGTTACCTTTGTATATTGAGCTTTCAAGCTTTCCCTATTCTCTTTGTACCTTGATTCATTTTTTTTTAATTTAAATTAATTTTTACTACAGTATAGTCATTTTGCAATGTTGTGTTGGTTTCTGCTATATAGCAAAGTGAATCAACTATACATATATGTATATCCACTCTTTTTCAGATACCCTTCCCATGCAGATCACCACAGAGCATTAGGTAGAAATCCCTGTACTGTATGGTAAGTTTTCATTAGTTAATCATTTCATAAAAAGTAGTGTATATATGTCAATCCCAATCTCCCAATACATCCCACCCCCACTACCCCCCTTGGTACCCATGGTTGTTTTCTACACTTGAGACTCTGTTTCCTCTTTGCTAATAAGTTCATCTGCTCTGTTTTTCTAGATTCCACATATAAATGACATTGTACAGTATCTGTTTTTCTCTTCCTGAGTTACTTCACTCTTGATGACAATCTCTGGGTCCATCTATGTCACTACAAATGGCATTATTTCATTCCTTTTTATGGCTGAGTAATAAACCACTTTGTCCATTCCTCTGTTGATGGACATTCAGGTTGCTTCCATGTTGTGGCTGTTGTAAACAATGCTGCAATGAAAGCTGAGGTGCATGCATCCTTTCAAATTATGGTTTTTCTCCAGCTATATGCCAGGAGTGGAACTGTTGGATTATATGGTAGATCTAGTTTTAAAAGGAGCCTCCATATTGTTCTCCATAGTGGTTGTACCACTGACAATCTAAGAGGGTTCCTTTTTCTTCACAACTTATCCACTTTGTAGATTTTTTCTGATGATGGCCATTCTGACTGGTGTAAGATGACACCTTGTTGTAGTATTGATTTGCATTTCTGTAATAATTAGTGATGTTGAACATGTCTTCATGTGCTTTTTTGGCTATCTGTCTTTTTTGGATAAATCTCTATGTATACATTCTGATCATTTTTTGATTGAGTTGTTTTTTGATATTGAAGTGCATGAGCTACTTGTACATTCTGAAGATTAATCCCTTATCAATCACTTCATTTGCAAATATTTTCTCTCATTTTGAAGGCTGTCTTTTTATTTTGTTTATGATTTCCTTTGCTGTGCAAAATCTTTCAAGCTTAACTAGGTCTCATTTGTTTACTTTTGTTATATTTTCATTACTCTAGGTGGTGAACAAAAACATCCCTATTTACATTTCTCCTCCTTCTTATTTACCTTCAGGAATATTAACTGCTCCCTTAATAAACAACCTTTTAACATTTGTATTACCTGAACTGACACTATAATGCTCTGTAAGTTTTTGGGAAGAACTTTATGTGTGCACTTCTGGATTACTGTTCTCCCTTACAGGGCTTAATCCAGCAGCACACTCTGTCATATAAGCTGGCTTTTTAATTTAAGTTGGCTAATTTATAGGTAACCCTAGAGGTAAAAAAATCCACCAGCCAATGCAGGAGACACAGGAGATGTGGATTCGATCCTTGGATCAAGAAGATCCCCTGGAAGGGGACATCGCAACCCACTCCAGTATTCTTGTCTGGAGAATTCCATGGACAAAGGAGCCTGGTGGACTACAGTCCATAGGGTGACCAAGAGTCGGGCACCACTGAAGAGACTTAGCATGCACCAGTAATTTACTATCTTACATTTAAGGGGACTCAGTAAATGCAATTAAACTGAACTGACTGTTCTTCAATAAACTTTACAAGTGATAGTGAAATAAACAGTAAATTTAAATTATAATGTTTAAAATCAGTAATACTTGCTATAACCCTACACATCTTAGAATACTTGCATAGAGCTTCTGCATATGTATTCAATTGTTATTTCTGCTTTTAAACCTCATCCTCACTTCAAACTTCATTCCTTTTACCACTAAATGTCCATGTAATGAAACCTGAAGGAAACTAAAGGGCATACTAGAGAATATCACTTTTCACTTAAGTCTCACTGCTCATAATTATTTACACATCTGGTATGAAGCCATCATATCAATATTCTCCACATTGAGGGCTTTATTTATGGCCCCTGGTGGCTCAGATGGTAAAGAATCTGCCTGCAACGCAGGAGATCTGAGTTTGATCCCCGGGTCAGGGAGATCCCTTGGAGAAGGGAATGTACCCACTCCAGTATTCTTGCTTGGAGAATTCCATGGACATAGGAGGCTGGTGGGCTATATAGTCCATGGGGTCACAAAGAGTCAGATACAACCGAGTGACTAACACTTTGACTTTCATGTCAAAGGATAATTAATACATTAGTTTCTATCACTGAGATTAACAAATTTACTTATACAATTTAGCAACAAGAAACAGTAAAAGAAAATGCCACAGTAAATGTTTCTGCCCATATATTGTCACGAGGTTAATAAAAAAATTCATTTTGGGGGGCATACTATCTAAGAAATGAATAACATCAAATGCTATTTTGAATAAAACTTTGTGCCCATATATTCATTTTGTATTTTTTTTTTTTGAAGAACAAACTAAAGGTATCAAAAACCCGTTAAGATATTTAGTTAATGGATAAAACAGACTTGATCAATATATTGAACAAAAACTTACAGGATCTGCAGGTCCACAGAATTCTCGAAATGTCATTGTAGGATTAGTTTGTTGAATCTCCATTGCTACACAAGGCCCAGAATACATTTCTGTCACCATTTCCTATAAAATATAAATAAGATAATATTAACAAATGAGTAGAATTTAATAATATTTTGCTTCTCTTCTATTAATTGCACTACTATTCTACTGGACCCAAAATGTTAAAGTTATCTTTGGCTTCTTCTCCACCTGTACCCTCTATGCCAAGCAGTTCCCACATTTTGTCCATTTTTCCTACAAAAATGTATTTTAGATATGTTCCCTTGTCTCCATTCCTACTATTATCATACTAATGCTTTATCACTTGATAACATTCACTATTTGAAATTATCTTTTAGTACATATTTATTTTAAAAGGCTCTCTCCTCTCAAACACAATACTATCAAATGAACATTTAAAAAAATATATATTCCAAAGCGTTTCTCCCAAAGAAACTTATAAAAATCATAACGAGTTTCAGCAATAATGAATAACAGGCATCAGATTCGTTTTCTCACATTAAACATCTAGAAACTAAAGGCAATAAACATATATTGTTTTCAGACACTGAACTATCGATAGACAGCACAGTACCATGATCCTCAAGAGAAGGAAAATGAATGGGATAAGCTGTACAACTGCCCATCTTACTGCCTGAAGGTGTCTAGACAGTGAAACAAATATAGGAAACACAAAAGAGCCCAACATTCTCACTGAAGAGATCGAGACTGGAGTTTAGGGAGGCCAGTGAGGCAACGATTTGCCGAACAGAATACTAGAGGAAGTGGGAGAGCAACAAGAGAGTAAGCCTCAGGATCTGCAGAGAAGTTTTTGAGTCTTAGATTAAGAGTCTGTGTATATATAAAGGATACTACCGAAGGCTGAGAAAAGAACTCCCAGAAAGCAGTAAATGAAACAATTCATAAATACAGTATAAGACTGGGAAGAATCTGTACTCCTACAAACTGGAGTGGAAAGCCCCCATATGATATACAGGGCATCATGTAGAGTCCTCAGAATGGTGTTATACCCTAGTTGTTACTGTTTAGTCTCTAAGGGTATACAACACTTTGTGACCGCATGAACTGCAGGACGCCAGGCTTCTTTGCCCATCACTATCTCCCTGAATTTGCTCAAACTCATGTCCATTGAGTCAGTGATGCCATCCAACCATCTCATCCTCTGCTGTCCCCTCCTCCTCCTCCCTCCATCTTTCCCAGCATCAGTATCTTTTCTAATGAGTCAGCTCTTTGCATCAGGTGGCCAAAGTATTGGAGCTTCAGCATCAGTCCTCCCAATGATATTCGGATTGATTTCCTTTAGGATTGACTGGTTTGATCTCCCTGCATTCCAAGGGATTCTCAAGAGTCTTCTCCAACACCACAGTTCAAAAGCATCAATTCTTTGGCATTCATCCTTCTATATGGTTCACCTCTCATATCCATACACGGAAAAACCATACTTTTGACTAGACAGACCTTTGTCAACAAAGTAATGTCTCTGCTTTTTAAAACACTGTTTAGGTTTGACATAGCTATTTTTCCAAGAAGCAAGCGTCTTTTAATTTCATGGCTGCAGTCACCATCTGCAGTGAGTTTGGAGCCCAAGAAAATGAAATCTGACACTGTTTCCACATTTTCCCCATCTATTTGTCATGAAGTGATAGGACCAGATGCATGATCTTAGGTTTTGGAATGCTGAGTTTGAAGCCAGCTTTTCACTCTCCTCTTTCACATTCATCAAGAGGCTCCTTAGTTCTTCTTCATTTTCTGCCACTAAAATATACCACAGTAGTTGGCCTAAACTTGCCTTATGTATGGAACACTCTGTATTTATTCTGTGAAAGCTTAAACGCAAGTCTCACAAGTGTCAAACTGATCCCAAGTAACTTGTCCAAGGGCCAGAACAAAATCAAACATTTCTTAAAGGAATACAGCAACACCATGTAACAGTGTAAATTTCACAACACCAGTACATAACAAAAATTGCCAGCATACAAAAAGAAGTAAGAAAATATAAACTATCACCAGAACCAAACTCTAGAGACAGAAACCCAGCGATGACAGAAATATGGATGTAATTACACAAGAAGTTTTAACAGTCACTATACCTAGGTTCTACATGCTCAAATTATAGAAGAAAACATGTACATAATACACGGCAAAAAAAAAAAAAAAAAATATATATATATATATATATATATATATATATATATATATATATAAAGATCCAAACAAAACTTCTAGAGATGAAAACTACATCTGAATTTATAAGTGATGAAGAGGATAAACCCTTGTAGGAGATCAATGAATTTGAAGGCATGCAACAGAAACTCTTAAAAAGCAAGCATGGAAAGAAAGAAGAGTGAAGAAAACTTTTAAATTTAAAAAAAAAGACTATGGGACAACGTCACGCAGTGTAATTGGAGCCTCAAAAGAAGAAAGGATGATGAACAGAAATGTATTTTGAGAATTAATCACTAAAAAGTTTTTATATTTGATGAAACTTATAAACCCACAGATATAATAAAATCCAAGGAGAAAAAGTGGAAAAAAAAATAAAGTAAGGCACATCATAATCAGATTGGCTATAAAACAAGAACAACAATAACAACAACAAAAAAAAAAACCACAGTAAAAAATAGTGAAACATTTTTTCACTGTAGAAACATCAAAAAAAAAAAGAACAAAGATAAGGATAAAAACAACAACTTATATCAAATTCTATAATCAGTTGAGAAATATTTGGAAAATATTATTCAAAATGAATGAAAAATAAAGGCTTTTTCAGTGTATACGTATTTAACCTCTTTGGTTAAGTTCATTCATAGGTATTTTACTCTTTATGACCCAATTTCAAATGGGGATTGCTTTCTCACTTTATCTTTATGTTAACCTTGAATCCTACAACTTTACTGAATTCACTTAATTCTAGTAGGGTTTTTATTTTTTGGTGAAGACTTTAGGATATTCTCTACATAATATCACTTGTTGCTGTTTAGTTGCTAAGTTGTGTCTCACTCTTTGTGACCCCACAGACTGCAGACCAATAGTCTCATCCGCCCACCAGAATTTCCCAGGCAAAAATACTACAATGGGTAATCATTTCCTTCTCCATGGGGTCTTTCCAACCCAGGGATCATACCTGCATCTACTGCATTGGCAGGTGGATTCTTTAACTCTGAGCTTCCAGGGTAGCATATAATACCATATCATCTGCAATTAGTGACAGTTTTACTTCTTCCTCGCAATTTGAATGCCTCTTATTTCTTTTACTTATCTGATTACTATGGCAAAGGCTTCTAATACTATGTTAAATAGAAGCAGGGAGAGTTGGCATCCTTGTCTTGGAAGTAAAAGACCTATGCTATGTAAACTATAGAATACTGATGAAGGAAACTGAAGATGACGCAAAGATATCCTGTGTTCTTGGATTGGAGAAAGTAATATTGTTAAAATGGCTATACTATCCAAGGCAATCTACAGATTTAATGCAATCTCTATCAAAATATCCATGACATTTTTCACAGAACTCAAACAAATAGTCTTAAAATTTATATGGAACTACAAATGACCCTGAACTGCCACAGCAATCTTGGGGGGGGGGAAATGCTGGAGGTATCAAGCTCCCTGACTTTAGACTACACAGGAAAGCTACAGTAGTCAAAACAACATGGTACTGTTACAGAGACAGACACACAGATGAAGGGAACAGAATAGAAGGCCCAAAATAAACCCATACACTTATGACCACTCTATAATAAAGAAGGCAAGAATATACAATGGGAAAAGACAGTCCCTTTAACAAGTGATGCTGGGAAAACTGAACAGCTACATGTAAGAGTGAAATTAGAACATTTCCTTACACTGTATAAAAAATATACTCAATATAGATTAAAGACCTAAATGTAAGACCTAAATCCAAAAAAAAATTACTTCTACAAGAAAATACAGACAGAATACTCTTCAACATAAATTGCAGGATTATTTTTTTTGGATCAGTCTCTTAGGCAAAAGAAATAAAAGCAAAAATAAATAAATGGGAACTATTAAACATAAAAAGTTTTATAGAGCAAAGGAAACCATCAACAAAATGAAAAGACAACATACTGAATGGGAGAAAAGATTTGTAAATGCTATGACTGATAAGCAGTTAATATAAAAAATGAAGAGCTCATAGAACTCAAAGTCAAAAAACAAAAAACAAAAAACTCTATTAAAAAATGTGGAGGGCTGAATAGACATTTTTCCAAAGAAGACATACAGATGGCCAACAGACATACAGATGGCCAAAATCTCTCAAATTTTGTTTGTCTGAGAAAGTCTTTCTTTTTTGATTGAAAGATCACTGACTTACAATACTAGTTTCAGGTGTACAACACAGTGATTCAATATTTTTATAGATTACATTCCATTTACAGTTATTACAAAATAATGGCAATATTCTCCTGATAGTTTATCCTTTATACCACTAATCAGAGAAGTGCAAATAAAAGCACCATGAGATATCACACCTGCTAAAACGGCTACCATCAAAATGTCTACCAAAAAAAAAAAAGTCTACAAATAACAAATGCTGGCAAGGATGTGCAGAAACAGGAACCCTAGTACACTGTTGGTGAGAATGTAATTGGTGCAGTCACTATGGAAAACAGTATGCAGGTTCCTCAAAAAAAGTAAAAGCGGAACTACCATACGATCTAGCAACTCCACTGCTGGATATATATTTGAATAAAAAAAAAAACACTAATTCAAAAAGATATATGTATTCCAATAGTGGCATTATTTTCAAGAGCCAATATATGGAAACAATCTAAGTATCCAACAACAGGTGAATGAATAATGAAGATGTGATATATACATACAGTGGAATACTACTCAGTAATAAAAAAAGAACAAAATTCTACCACTGGCAACAATGTGGATAAACCTAGAGTGTATTATTCTTAGTGAAATAAGTCAGAGAAAGACAAATATTCTGTATGTTACCACTTATATGTAAAATCTTAAACATAAAACAAACAAATGTATATTACAAAACAGAAACAGACTCACAGATATAGAGAACAAACTAATGGTGA